AGATGCTGATGTACCAGTACATAACATTATTATCCTGGGGTACCATTAGAGCTGCCTTGCCTGCAACTCCCCTTTATGATGTGGGTTTGATTGAGACGGTAAGTCCAGGGATAAACTCAAACACGTGCTAAGAGACATGAAAGTGCAGACAGACAGGTTGATCTTCTCTCTCTGTCCCTGAGGGACTTGTCCACAGACACATGTCTCCAAGCCTTTCTGCTATGTTCGCACATGCCTCGCCTAAGGGAGGTATATTTAGTGTTTACTGTTTCTGTCTGAACTGGGATTTGGAAAGTTAAAAGTACACTTTTATGCTATTTTTATTTTCCAAAAAAAAAATGTATACAATGACTGATACAGTTAGTAACAAAAACAGAAAAAGTGAGGCGCAGTGCTTGAAATTACTTTAGCCGTGATTAAACAGTAGTGTGGCCTCGAACACCATGTAGAAGTTTTTTTTTCCCTTTAATAAAATATACATTCATGTCCCAGTCACATTTTCTTGGTTAAATAAGCATTATTTACTATCAGAAAAAGAAAACAAAATTCTATTTTATATTTTTACATTAACAATGGAAATCAATATTATATTTATTAAAGCCATGTTTGAATTTCATCAAGTTAGTTATATTCCAAAATAATAACTCAAGGCAGTAACAATTTAAACAATAATTAGGGTTAGAGTACCACGGCACATGCTCGTGATTTCCTCTACTCAAAAACAAGTCACAGCACATGCGTGTTCTGCGTCAGCAGCATCACACGCATGTGTCATGATACTCTCATTAATGGCGCCTAGGGTGACGCTGAGGAGAAGAAAGTTTGTTCACTCGGCGGCCATATTTGCAATGCCTCCGGCCAGCTCAAACAAGACCAAGTCCTATCTAAATGAATGTGGGAATCCTGAAATCTCAAAAACTGCATCAGCAACAAAATCTGAAATGAACTGCCCCATGAATGTTGTTTCTTATGCTCAAATAGCATTTAAAAAGCGTATTTTTCAGGCTAGACCAGCCAATGCGCATGCGCAGTTATAACGCACTTAAGAATGCTCATGCGCATCGGCTGGTCTGGCCTCAGGTTTCTATGGGAACCGGAGCTTATAACAGCCGCTGCAGTGATGCAATGACTTTACCAATCAGCGATTGGCTCTTTCATTTAGAAGGCGGGACTATCTCGCCATATTGCGCGTTGCAGTTTCTCCCATTCATAAGTATAGGAGTGAACCGTCTTTGCATTTCTATAGTCTTTGCTAAAAACTCCCACAGATTCTGATTCGCCAATGATTCAAACTCAAACTGATGATTCAGACAGGTTGAGATGTATCAAGCTGTTTCCATCACCATTTTATGCGCATTTTGAAGTAGCCTATCGCTTCAGAAACGAGTGATGGAAACGCCAAATTTCAAATAATTCACTAAAAAGTTTTTACGCTCGCTTGAAGTGGTTTTTGACTTGTGCGAAAAGGGTTTATGCGAATGATGGGAAAAGTACACGCATTTGCCGAGTAAATTCCTCCATGCGCATCATAAAAGTCATATGTTACTTTGCGCTATTGGACGGCAAAACCTGACTAACCATTGGACCGATCTTGTTCCACAGCATCTTAAATGTTGTTATGGTCATTTTGAAATGCCCGAGCAAAGTCTGTCATCAAAGTATTCCTGTATAATTGCCTCCCGGAACTGTTACATGACTGCGTTCCCAAACAGCATGCATCCACCTCCGAAACCAATGACTGTAATTATTTAGTTTCGTCTGCTCACTCTGAGGCGCAAGTAATTTATTATATATGAAAATTATTATATTCAGTGCCTTCTCCTACTTTTCTTAGTCATATATACTGCCAGTTCTACCAGGAAGTGACGATTTTGTTCTCTTTGACTCGTTGGATGGAAACGGTGCTTATTCGCAAATGTTTTATGCGATATTTCAGTTTTGCGCATAAGTTCTCAACTTTGGATGGAAACCCGGCTTCAGACACCACTTGCTCTGATTCGAAACAGCTGAAAATGTCACACAGGCCCTGTCGCAAATAGCACACTTCATGTGCACTTGTAGTCTTTCTAACGCTACCTTCCCTGTACTTAAAAAGGGGTCATATAATGCGATTCCAATTTTTCCTTTCTCTTTGAAGTGTTACAAGCTCTTGGTGCATAAAGAAGATCTGTAATTGTTGTGAAAGCGAAACTACTTTGTTTCGCCTTCCAAGAGTGGACAATATCCGCTTCGTCATGCCTAGAGCTGATCCGTGCTGGCATATTTAAGGGTGGATAATTTAATCAGTTGTTTATTGCAACAATACATAATACAATAACGTTGTCTAGTGCTCTTATGAAAGTTTAAAGCATGATTTGTGAAAATGTAACTATACTGAATGACATGGCATAGAAAAAAAAAAACTAAAAATAAATGATTTCCAATCTTTTGAAAATAAGATATGATAAAGATATCGCTGAGTCTAAACTGCAACTTCCTACTTTATTAACTTTCTAAAGTGTCAAATTAAGTGGAAAAGACAAGTCCAAAACGCTTATAATAGCCGGATCTGGCAACACGGTGGCTGCACCATGCGCTCTCACTCACAGCGCACAAGAGTTTAACAGCAAATTAGTCATTCAAATAACAAATTTTATTTTTGAACATGAAAAATTTACATAAACACAGCTATGAGGCTGGCCCGTAGCTGGTTACGGGCCTGCTGGAGACTACTGTTTCCTTCAAATTTATAAGTGACTTGATGTCACCAATTTCTGCACTCACACTTTTTTATTTTTTGCTGTTTTTAAAATACCTTGCCATAAGTTAATTGAACATTTCCTCCCTGTTGGGCATTGTCTGTCAAACAGCCTATACTTTATTTGACAGGAAATACGGACAATCAGACTTTTTTTTTTTTTTTGCCATTTCCATGTAACATGCCATTTTTTTTCCTGCCAAATAAACAAAAACAGATCTTTTTAAACAAATTTTATTCAATGTTTTGATCATTATTGTAGATACACTGACATTACATTTTCTGACATGGATACACACAAATGAATTCATAACTCCAGCCAACTATCCTTTGTCAACTGTTGAAAGTGAATTTTTAAGTTATAACAATTGTAGTTCCAACACGCAAGCTGATGAGCACAATAAGCAAATTTCAATTTTCAAAAGCAAATTGATTTGGTAACATGCAATAATCAACAGATAACATCATTTGCGGGTTTACAGTAAAATGTAATATCAACACAGTAACAGAAAAACATTCCAGCCTGTGGAAATGAAACATTAAAACCCTGTTTACCATATTGCTAATGACTTTTGCAGTAAAACTCTACCTTAATGAGGTTAAAAAAAGAATGTTAAAGAGAACATGATGATAATGGATCAGCATGTATTCTGCACTTGCACAAAAGTTATGACTATATTAGCAATATACTGAATGTCTTATATTGTCATATTCTGATATTACAGATTTAACTATTTCAGTCTACACTGAATGTTGTCATTTAATCAAGGTCCTGTATTAAATTTAACTTACTGTAACTACAATGAAGAGATTACTATTTATGCCAAGACATCTGCTGAAGACAAAAATGCTGATACCCTCAGGGCCGGAATCAGTGCATTATATCAACTGACTAATGCAATGGCATTTTAAAGTTGAATGCACCAGAACAATGATTTGTTACTTGTGACAGGCTTTATTGCAGTAGCAGAACCCTAAAAATAGTATAGAAGATGCATTGTGCCTCACGCTTGTGAAATATGCAAATCTTTGGTATTCTTCAATCTGCCAGCTTTATTTGCCTCCCAGATCACCACTTAGATTTAGAACACTTTAGATGTCCCATGTTACATCAATTCACATGGCAATGCATTTTCTGGTTGGTTCGAAGTGCTTCCCTTGACCATAAGTAAAAACGTACAGGTTTGATAATAAAGCAAAATGTTATTTATAGTAGAATAGTCTATTCTTTCATTTAATGGCGATTTCGATTTCTTCTTTAAAAGCTTTTTTGTAAGGTTTATCGGTCTTATTCATTGACAAGCCTGTCAGATCTGATTGAGAAGGAGAGCGTATCCTATCTACCTAAATGAAACATGATAGGTTTACCTTTGGTTTCATTATATTTTTCACTTCAGGTTCAATGTGCTAATCATTCTATATACTGTACATAATTCATCAAGCTGATTAAAGCACATGATACATGAAAAGGCATTCATTTCAAGTCACAGTTAAAGACAATGTGAGAGGTGGCTTTTACAGCCTTCAGTGGAAATTGAAGGGTCTTTTAGCATATTGTCTGGTTGTTATTCTGGCTCCTGCGTGCTGTAAACTGCATTATGACAAGGACAACAGAAGGCAGTCAGTGAGGCGTCCAGTGCATTTTCTACTTCCTGCAACTGGGGCATTGATTTGCAGGGGAAGTCACCCTCTCCGTCACAACGGCATGGAAGCATCAGAGAAAAGACGTGGACATTATACTGAACTGCTGAAAAACTGCTGAGGGAAATCCAACACCATAAGGCTCAGCTACCAACAGACTGTGAGGATTTGAAGAAGTACCTTGGGTAATACAGTTGTCAGAGGCTCAGGAGATAAGAATGGGGAATTTAAACCTGAACCCAACAAGGTCAAACCTTGCATTTGTTGAGAGCACACCACAAAGCTGCTCATTCAAGACCTTTGTGAACAATTGTCTGAGCTACATTGCACAAAAATGTAATTTCTTTCATTCAAAAATATTTGTCTTCATTTACTCAATCATGGTTAAAAGCTTTTCAGATTGTGGTTCACTTTTTCAAAGGGCTAAAAAATTACTCTGGACATTCTGCTAAATACTTTGCCTTCCAAGAAAAGATATTTCTGAAATATTCGCTTTTGTTTATTTAGGTTTTATCACTATACACTGTAAAAAAAAAAAAAAATTCAAATACATAAAGGTTAATGGAGTGTGTCTTACAAAAAAATAAAATAAAAAATAAATACAATTTCATTTTGATAATATGTCTACTGAATAACCAAACCTCCAGTTACAGAAATATTTCTGGTTGCCATTCAGGTAAAACAGTGATCTGCATCAAAATAAGTTTAAACTATTTAATATTTAATAATAATTAGCTATCATTGTGCTAACATTTTGTTTTGAGTATTTACAAGCTTCTCTCTAATCAATCATCATTATACAGTCAATGTTCATTTTAGGCCCTTTCTGACATATGCTAGTCTCGGCTATTTCAAAAAAGAAACACTGAATATTTTGTAAACCCAGCTTGCTACATTATTAACTGTTAGAACTTCCATTAGTTGTCCAACTTCCACAGAACGTTTATAATATTTGTGGAAAACATTTAACCACACTAGTACCTGTAAACAACTTCTCTTTACCAACTGTTCACTTTCTTTTAACCTTAGGGGCTTTCTGCAGCTTGATAACATGCAAAAGGTTACTAAGAATGTTAAAATGTTAAATGATTAAAAATAAAATGAAGAAAACACAAAAATTCTTAAGACCATGAACTGAATCTTTGGAGGACACCTTTCAATGTAAAAATTCTGAAGTATATAATCATTGCACATGCCCCAAAACTATCATGGTACGTCTGTTATAATAATGTAAAAGAAATTCAATGGTCTGAATCAGTGCATCAGTGTCCATTCAATTTGATAATAAAAAAAAATACTACTAATAATAATAACATTATGCACACATGTTGTCTTTACGGTATATAGATATCTATATATTGTTGTTTTTCTGTGACCATGCTGTTGTATAGATGTGAGCGTGACACAGACTTGTTGAAAAGCGAAGCCACTTTAGAGTTCAAGCAGATGATTTAAACATCGTGGTTCTGAGAATGCTGGAATACAATACAAACAAATAAACAAAAAAAATATATAAAAATGAATCCTATTTAATACTTAATTCTTTTATACACACACAGATCAATTTAAGAGATGTGTTTGCAGAGTATGTGAAGTTGATGGCAGTAGGAAACAACAGCAAAGTTAAGCGGGTATGAACTGTTGATGTCTAAATTCAATTGCACAATAACAAATTGTCCAGTGTGAGTCGGGCCCATTGTGAGTTCCTGTCATTTCCTCATATCTCAATTGGAACTTCATTGGCTGCTCTCTGTTTCAGGGAGGCAGAGATGGAGCAGAACCTGGGAAAAACAAGACAGCTACATTCAATAGTCTTCAGTCAATCAGTTGCTTTTTGTTAAGTTTAGCCTAATCCAGTCATACTATGACAACAATCTTTCAAATAAGCATTCAAAAAATGAGGCAACACTACTTTACAGTGTCCAAGCTTGTTAACGCAGAATGCCAACGAAACATGTAAACGCATCACATTCTTGATGCATACCAACAACGCTATAAGGACAGATGTTTTTGCGTTCAGAAAACAGAATTCCCATCCCCTCAAAGAGCTCTGCAAAACCAAATTTGCAAAACAACTACTACCATATCGAAATATCAGCAATTATGCAAAACATATTTCATAAGAATACATGGTCTTATGAAACACTATGTGTTAACACTAATGGAACAAGACAGAGAGCGAGACGCGGCAAAGCAGCAAAAAACATCCACCCACAGTAGTATATGCATTTGCATATTGTGCTTGATTCATAATATAATGACCTAGTGCAGAGGAATCATTTATTAACATTTATATAGATTTACCAACCCAAGTATATCATGTCCTAAATAAAAGTATTTTAAAGGAATAGTTCAACAGCTATACAGTTTACAGTAATTCACAAGTAATTCTGACCGCACCCATTCAATGCAGAGGACCTGTTGGTGAGCATGTGATGTAATGTTAAATTTCTCTAAATCTGTTCAGGTGAAGAAACAAATTTTGGATGGCCTGAGGATCAGTACATTTTCATCAAATTTGGGTGACAAATTCCTCAAAGGATGTGTATATATATATAAAAATGTGATCAGAAGCCAGTTTATCCCTCATTCCTCTAGAATTTGAACGTTGCACGTACCTTGAAGTCTTGTAGTGTTTCTTTTTCCTCCAAACTTGAAAGCAGGAAGATTTTGCACAGTTCTTCTTACAGTCAATGACTTGATATATGATTGGATTGTACATAGCAGAGGACTTGGCCAGCAAAGTTGGCACAACAGAGACTGGGATAGGCACTGAATCAGGCTCTCCAAAAGCAGACACCACTGACACCACAGCATAAGGGATCCAAGCTATTAAAAACCCTGCGCAGATCAACATCGCCACCTGGAGGATGCAAATGGAACCATGTCAAAAATGACATGGCATTTCCACATAGCATTTCTGCTTATTAAAACGCACAAACCTTAGTCAACTTCATCTCCAGGTTGTGGTTGTTCTTATTCCGTGTGTCGAAATGAGAGACTTCTTTGGCTGAGGATTTGACCTTGAAGATGATCATGACATAGGAGAAGACGATGATGCCGGTGGGGAAGATGAGACAGAAGAAGAGCATGCACATAACAAAGCTCTGGCCAGACACCGAGGCCTGGGCCAGCCACCAGTCCAGCGTGCAGGAGGTGCCAAACGGCTCAGGTGCGTAGTTGCCCCAACCCACCACTGGCATGGTGGCCCAGAAGGCAGCATAGATCCATGTAAAAACCACACCGAGAAAGGCATGACGCCGTTTGAACCATGTACCTGATTGGCAGAGTGAACTGATGTTAGTAAAGCTAACTAAACGGCAGCTAGAACGATCGATAGAACGACAGATAGCTAGAAATACAGAATGACAGACAGATAGACAAACAGAACAATAGATAGACAGAGATATAGAACAATAGATAGAAATAGACAGAAATACAGGACAGACTAACAGAATAGATTTAACAGACAGACTGACAGATACAACAGTAAAGAACAACAGAGAGGCAGATAGAATGATAGAAGGAACAACATACCGATAGAAATATCGAACAACAGATAGAATGACAGACAGAATTACAGAACAATAGAGACAGACAGATACAAAAATAGATATAACGACAGACAGACAAATAGAAACACAGAACGACAGACAGAAAAAAAATAGATAGAATAACAGACAGATAGAATGCCTGTCACACACAACAATAGATACAATGACAGATAGGTGGATAGAACAACTGATAGAAATGCAGAATGATAGATAGACTGATAGACAGACAGAATAAGCAGAATCACAGATAGACAGTTAGGCTCATTGTAATTACCATATTTTAAATGACAGATCTTCAAGTAGCGGTCTAAGCTGACAATGGTCATCGTAATGAGACTTCCGCATCCGAAGAAAAAGCCAGCCCAGCCGTAGTAGCGACAACCCTGCCAGCCAAACAACCAGCGATGGGCAAAACTAGACACTATGAAGAATGGCTTTCCAGTGACTGACAAAACATACAAAAAGAACTTGATGTTAAACAAGCCATAAAAAAAAATTCAGAAGCAATTATTACTGACAAAAGAATACTTTTGTTTTCAAGTGAGCTCTCAGAGGGCAATAAGAGCACTGCAAAGACTGAACTGCAAACTATGATGTTACGATGTTTCTTAAAATTTTGCAACAAAAATTTTTTATTTATCACTCCAAACGGCTCTTTTCCAGTAGATTTCATATCTTTTAATATAATTAATATCTTTGATTACTGTTTGTATCTAAAACGACCTAAATTTACATTTGTTTGAAATATGATGCAGATTCTCATTAATACTCTCTGTAAACATATAGATTACATATATGTGGAAAAAACGAGGAAGAGTCCAGAGGTGGAAAGCACACCATGACCCCAAGTCTGCGTAAATGTGACGCAGAGTAGTCTGCCTTGTGCATGACTCCTGGGAAACCTCATTATTTTTAAATACAGTGATGCCATCCTGATAATAGTCTTCTTCAATGGCAATTGGGAAGTAACTATTGATTTGAATCTGAGCGCTTAAAATGATAAATCATATCTGATTAAATTTCTTGTCCCTCACACTCACGCACAATTTTTTTTTCTATGTAATTTACTTTCTTCTCTCCCAAATAATATGCAAAGGCAGCTATAAGTAAGCCCTTTGTAAACTGATTCTCTCGAAAAACATTATTACTTTGTTTGATCAAATGCTGTGATTTTGGGGTAGGACTGTCGACTGACCAATTGCAGGCAGAGAGAAACTTGTTTGGGAAACTTATTTGAAAACAGTCATTATTTTTGTCAGTGGCTCAGATAATTACACTCCCCACCTTTAATTAACTGGAATGAACTTTATGAGCTACACGGTAGGTAGTTTGTTCTGCAAATCTTAGAAAGTGAGTGTTTAAGGATGATGGCGACTAAACAGATTATGCACTTTACAATAACAGTACATCAGGGGTGTCCAACCCTGCTCCTGGAGAGCTACCGTCCTGCAGACTTTAGTTCCAACCCTGCTCCAGCACACCTGTCTGTAATTATCAAGCAACCCTGAACACCTTGATTAGCTGGTTCAGGTGTGTTTGATTGGGGTTAGAGCTGAAATCTGCAGGATGGTAGCTCTCCAGGAGCAGGGTTGGACACCCCTGCAGTACATGAATAATCATGCACTAACACCTAAATTAAGTATTATTTAAATATGAACTAATGATGAGTTAAGGCACATACTAATCAATAACTAACATTACCTACTACACCATGAGTCATATGAATTCATGTGTGTAATAAACATGTACTAACATGTATTCAAGGTGGTCATTAATCACACATGAATTCATATGACTGTGATTAAAGTTAGTTCTTGATTAGTACATGCCATAATCATCGTTACTTCATGTATTTAATTTAGAAGTTAGTAAATGATTATTCATGTACTGTTATTGTAAAGTGTTGCGAAAAATGATCTATTTAAATGAAAACTGAGCTGTAAGCAGCATGCAATACTCTAAGAAATGCTGGTTTATTATCAGGGATCACTGCTCCCCTGAGGAAGCGACACTACACACCCACTAGGTGGGGCTAGAATTCAAATTTTTGAACGAGAGGAAATGTTTATTATGAACCAGGAACAAAGGCCAGCACATTGGAATCAGCGGTTCCTTTTTACTGGGGTAAAAGCCCCAGTGAAATACCTCTGTGCCCCATTAAAATTCTACTGATAAATTTGTCTAATGATTGAGGTTATATTTTATCAACTTGAAAATAATTTCCCCTGCCAATATTTCAGCAATCATGTCATGTGTGTTTTCTATTAGCTGTTTAGAGCCAGAACTAACAATGCCAAATTTGTGAATGAAACATGCTCTAATCAATAACCATAAGCACTTTATGATTTGTATTAAAACTAACACAGACTTGACTTTATATTGTTATATAAAGGCTACAGTAAACTCTTGGAAACTTTACAACATGCCGCCATCATCTTTCCAAATGTATGTTAAATATAGATATTATTGTTTTCATTCTTATTGTATAATATTAAAAGCTATCATAAAATATGAATTGTTGCTTTAAAAAGACATTCAGATTTAAACAGAGTAACTACAAATTATTTACTGTTGGTATTTATGTGAAAAATGAATCACCAGAGTAATCTGAAGGAAAAGAGAGTCTTTACATTTTTCAGGAGTCAATCAAGGCATTAAATAGATCTTTTGTTCATTTGTGTAACCTTGTGGCTTAAAAATCTGTGTTTGATTTACACAAGTGTGTAATTTCAATAACAGCCAATAAATCAGTAAGGGCAGTGACAAGTATCATAAAAGAGGCAGCACTGAATAACCTTGGCTTATTTACTGCCACACTGTCTATTCGGAACATAATACCCAAAGCCCAATACAAGCTGTACAAACTATACACTGAAAGCTTTATGTATGTATCTTCAACACACACACACACACAAAGGCAGAAGATCCTATAAACAACAAAGAGATCCTTTCTGTTATGTAATACATTCACTTGTATTCCACTTTAAAATGAATTAATTTTTGAAAAGCACATCTGACAGATGAAAACAGTATTTCAGCAGCATGACATCAAGTCTTTCAGTCTCACCTGATATGCCAAAGTCGAACACAGCCAGATTCAGCGTCATGAACTCTGGTGGCTTTAACTTGCCCTTCCGTTTGATGGTTGTGTATATGACATAACCATTTCCAGTGGCTGACAAGATACCTGTAAAAACATAAGACAAACTGTAATACTGCATGTTTTCTCACAAAGATGTAACTGCACACACAATACATAATATCTGGGGGGAGGGGGAATCAAAACAAATTCATTACCTTTTTAAACAGTAAACACAACTACAAATGATGTGCAGACTGATGGTATTTTTAAAATGCCAGAAAAAGTAAGTCTTGGACCTTGGGAAAAAGCTTTTTTATTCTTTCCATTATATAGAGTCCTTTGCGTCAGTTTGAGAAGCAGGTGTTTAATGGTTGTGTATTTGTTGAAATACAGTGGCTGCATATTAAGACTTCTGTTGTACCAGTAATTTTTAGAGAACTAATAAGAGTTGAAGGTTACTGGTTATCCCGTTTCCCAGTGAAAGGGCAAAAAAAAGGTCACTATAACAAAAGAGCAGTGTGATAATTAGTCATTTCTGGTTACAACCACATGCATTCAAATGAAACGATGCTCCCATTCATGTTATTCGTCTTTTCTCTGTTTTGTAACTAGATGACCACATATGTGCCTGCTAAAATTTGTCCAAAAAGAGCTTTCACAAAATTGTATTAAATAAAACAATCACTATCTATCACTCAAAATCTTATGTTCAATCCATAATGTCCAAGGCACCTTTATGAAAATCAAATTTCCAATGCAGAGGTCACTTGTCCTTTTGTGTCAGCTGACTGATGCAACATTTAAGAGAAAATACTTTATTTCATGTGACTTTTCAATGAACTCTTTCAATTTTGTTTAGTCTGCTGTTCTCATATGATCGTGAATCAATGTGCATGGATCACACACATTAACATCACTAACAGATACATTGTTTCAACAGTTATTGCTCTTAAAGGGACAGCCCATCCATAAATGAAAATACTATCATGTTGTCCAAAAGTTACCTACCAAATGATCTGAACTGAACCCTGTTCATCACTGGCATTTGTTGATCTGTATGTGTTACTGAGAGTAAATGTCTACTGCAAAACCTTCTGACTGATCTCGTGATTCAAACGGAGGAGAACAGACTGTGAAATACAACAAGGAAGAACTATTGATTCAGTCTTTCCCCTGAAACACACACATCTTTCAGGTCAAAAAGGAGAATTACATGGAAATCTCGGCAAAGGAAAATACCTTAATTTAAAAAAAGGGATGCAACGTCCTTCAAAGAATAGCTTTTATACCACGGTTATTGATGGATGACTGGGCTATAAATGATGTTGTGCTGAGCAAAAAAAGGATTTTTTAATTACATTTTTCAAAAGCGTACTGCGCAAAAGACAGACATACATTGGCAAACATTATCAAATTTAATTTTTCAAAAGTGTATTTCGTAAAAGACATGCAGTGGCAAAACATCTGAATTATTTCTAACAACTATACAGATTGGACATAGCAATCATTCTCTTGGAGAGGTCATGTCAGTTTTAGAAATGTTTATTCTGGTTTAGAGAGAAATTCATGAAAAGAATAAAAAAAGGGGGAAACAAAGACCTCTGCAATACAAAGTATTAAAAAGTACAAAAAGAATATGTCACCTTTTATCTTTTTTGCTATTTCATGAATTGTTTTGCATTTTATTATTATTACTATTTTATTTATTATTATTATTATTATTTAAACATTAAATTTTTTCCTGAAAAGCCAATAAAAATACACCCCTACAATAATGTGTTCAATTAACTAACTTTTTTTTTCTGGCAAACAATACTACAGTATGTACCTACAGAGAAACTGCCATTCAAACATAAACCCACCCACAAAAATATTCAGTGTAGTAAAAAAAAATTAACCAACCAGGATCTCCCCTGTATGTAGCATGTAACATGGACTAAATGACACTGCTCAAAACAAACTCCACTATATGACAGAGGATGACATCTCAATGACAGCGTGAGAGGATTGAACAAGTCTCAGTGTCTCAGTGACTGTCAGTTTTTAGCTAATTTAAGTAAAAGTTACAAGTCAAGTATTGGTTCTAAGAATTCAGAATGTGTTTACTGTAGCTTCTGCACCTTTTAGTCTTTCTTAAACATTTCATTTAAATTGATAACTTTTTCGATTCAGAAGGAATCAAATACATGCTGGTTAATGTACCTGTAGGCATTCATTGTGTCAGTACAGTCACTGAAAAATCTCTGTAATGTGCTTATATAATTTATATGTACACATGCTACTATTGTTGGTCAATACAAACATCTTAAAACGCTAGACACATGCTTTGATTTTTAATAACCTCAGAGCACGCTCACACACGACAAACAAGACAAATAAGCTGAAAGAGGAATATATGGAATTTTCAAGATACATTTTTAAAATGCATAACAACATCAGTGAAATAAATATGTATGGTAGGTGTGCATTCTTCCGATATTGAATTCAGCAGACCAATACAATGGACTTCCTGGACAAAAATAGCTAATAATGAATATCTGAGAGTCAAAGATAAAAAATTGTACAAGGTTCTCATTAAAATGACAAAAATAATTAGGTGTCTCTGTGAACAGTCTAATGAAATCCATCAATTTATTAACAAAACATGGAGAATCTTGCAGAATCTTTTCTCTTTTGCCAGTAGTACACATGGCAATGGTGCACACATATTTATTAAAAACAAATGCATTAAATACATATTCAGCTATGTTACAGTTCTTGGGTGGGCTTTATTCATGATGAACAATTGGGGTTTGAACCCATTGTTTTAAAGATTATATCAATGTGTCTACTCCCAAGACTGTTCATTAGCACATAGGCCCTACCAACCAACATGACGTTAAAAATAAGTGGTTCTTATGCAAGCCAAGGATGTTATATGTTCAGGCAAGATTAAGTAATACAATAAATCTAATTGCAAAACCCGATTATCTGACATCACTGAGAGTCATTAAAATATCTGATGCTTTTATCATGCAATTGTTGGTAACTAAAATATAATGAAAATTTCAGTATGTTAAATTCACTACAAATACTTGTTTGAAGACATTTTACAAGACAAACTTCTTAAAATCAACAAGAAATAAGTACAATCACTAAAACTCCAGACATTCTGCTGTAACCTAAATTAAATATTCGAATTCAAATGATTAAATTATTATTTCTGATCTTATCCAAGACAATTCACATGCTGCTTATAAAGAACACTTTCACATGAACAACGACCTTGTGCACTTACCGATGATAAGGATGTAGAACGCCGCCACTATGTCTGCCTCCCTGGACAGCTTGGAAGCAAAGGGATCTCCTTGAAGAAGGTAATGTGGGACATAGCCCAAAGGGATGGTCTCATTCTCCATTAGGGCCTTATTGAGGAGTGTGATTACTTTCCTGCAGAATAAATGGGAAAAAAATTCAAAACAAAAACGAAAACAGAATAATATTTGAACTCAGTTTGAGACATAATCTGGAGGGGAGCCATATCCAACAGCTTTACAATTCAAAAACCTGCTGCCAATCTTCTGAGGCTCCAGATTAAGCTCTACAAACCCCCTCATCTCTTATCGGCTACTGTACATGAAGACACTCTCTTCATATCTGTAATCAATACATACTGAGTCCTTGAGTGCATGCATTTTCATGAAAAATGTTCATATGTAAGCAGCATGAAGATACAAATTAAATATATATCACTGCCCCTCACAAAACGGATGTATTTGAGACAGTGGTGAAAAATGGCATAGGAATAAGACATGAGTTAGACCTGCTAGCCATATAATTTCTCAGCAGTTCCTCTCAGCAGTAAGTAGAGCAATTTCCAAGGTTTAATGATAGGTCTTCTAACGAAGTGCAATTTAGCACTATATCAGACAAATCTTGCTATCATAGATAAGTTCTACATATATTTACAGAGATATTACTGGCAATACTGAAACTGATGCTTGTCCAAATGATTACCATTAGTGACTTAGCGAAATCTTCTCTTTCCATTTGGTCAGTCCTTTCAAGATATTAATTACACGTAGTTCTGGAATAAATACGATGTGATTTTGTGTGTGATTTTTGCACCTACCTCTATCTGTCCTATTTATACCTTTCCAATGTCAATCACAGTAAATCACATAAGGTTGCTAATTACTGTAACAGCAGGGGTTTTCTTTAGACACATTCATTCATTTGACAGTTCCAAATTAAATGATCAAAATGAATTAAATCACAGAACAGAAAAGTGATACTGCAGAAATCCAGGCCCTCAAGCAATACCAGATAAAACCACTTATCTAGATGGACTTATCTATAAAGATGATATTTAGATATAGGCATATCGTTTGATTTGGTATCTTGAGGTTTGCAGGAAACTTGCTGTCTGTTAATCAGTAAATTTATTTATTCATTTAATAATTTAGATTACTAATGTGCCTATAAACTGCTTCTTGGCAGTCCTTGAAGGGTTAGTTCACCCAAAAATGAAAATTAGGCTGTGTTTTACTCACCCCAGAGCCATCCTAGGTGTATATGACTTTCTTCTTTCAGACGAATCCAGTCGGAGTTATATTAAAAATTGTCTTTGATCTTTCAAGCTGTTTAATGCCACTCAGCGGGTGTTGCAAAATACTATCATGTTGTCCAAAAGTTACCTACCAAATGATCTGAACTGAACCCTGTTCATCACTGGCATTTGTTGATCTGTATGTGTTACTGAGAGTAAATGTCTACTGCAAAACCTTCTGACTGATCTCGTGATTCAAACGGAGGAGAACAGACTGTGAAATACAACAAGGAAGAACTATTGATTCAGTCTTTCCCCTGAAACACACACATCTTTCAGGTCAAAGGCAGTGGCGGCTCGTGGATTTTAAAATAGAGGAGGCACACTAATTGTATTGGTCTGGGATCCCTGCTGAGTATTATAATTATTATTATTATTATTTGCTTAACCACTTTAAAATGGCTTTTTGGTTGCTTTTAGTCAGAAAACGTAAAGAAAACGAGACATACAACAAAATAATGTAATTTCACTTGCCTGGCTTATCACTTGAAGCAAACATCCATCCCTTCTTAAAAGTCTGTGTTAAAAGAGAGCTGCCTGTTGTGCTATTTAATTAAGCCGACTGTTGTAGCCTATATCCAGCTTAGGCCTGTTCTCCCTTTATTTTTAATTTGTATATACAGGTGCATCTCAATAAATTAGAATGTCGTGGAAAAGTTCATTTATTTCAGTAATTCAACTCAAATTGTGAAACTTGTGTATTAAATAAATTCAATGCACACAGA